ATAAACCTTTTTTTGTGAGAGAGTTTTATATTTATAATATATATAGTTTTTTTACATTTTAAGTATGTAAATATACTTATATAAAAACATATTTTAAATACTTTTTGAAAAGGTTTGTAAGTCATTTTCACAATGTATTATTGCTATGGCTCATCATCGATATCTATTGTTGGAGGGTGGACAAAGTCTTGTTGAATTTATTATTAGAATGTGTTCACTCAAAGAAGAAGATGTAAGTTTTTTTAATGGTAGGCATTTTTTGTATGCACATATTAAAAACATAAGTTATTGTTACTTATTAATTTAGTAATTTTTTTATATAAATTAATTTTTTTTATTAATTAAACTAGTTTTATATAAATTAATTTTTAAGTAAATATTGAAATACTTTTCTTTTTTAAAAGCTTTAAAAAAATGTCCCATGATGTATGTAGATTCCACTACGTCTATCTAACAATCAATCAATGCATTTTATTACAACTACTATTACATCATTTATGTAGCAATGATGCACTTATTTATGAAAAACTAAAATAAATTATAAAAATAACTATAAATAAACAACAACTTATTATACTTGTAATTATAATTAACAACTTATTATACATAAATTATAATTAATTAATTAACTTATTATACATAAATTATAAGTAATTAATTAATTAAGAAAGGCAATTTATTACACTAAACATCTCTTAAGGGTGGTGGTGGTGGGGAATGTGATATCTCAAACTCTAAAAAACTGTGTCTATGCCAATAGACTAGGGACTACACCTATGGACTACGCCTATTAAAGCGTAAATTGAAAAAATCTCACTTGAAAGAATGGATTTGTTCAATCAAAATTAGTCAGAGAGCTTTGTGACAAACTTCAACTTTAAATTGCCTTATTAAAATATTTTATTATAAAAAGGTATAATATGGAATATAAAGGTATATATGGAAAATAAAATATTTTTCTGCAGTTTTTTTATATTTAACTTAATAGTTTCAAATAAAAAAATAAAAGAAGTTGTGCACATATTTTATTCTGTGTTGCAGGTAGCAGTTAGGATTCACTAATTCTTTACTGGTTACTGTCCAGTGTTTACAAATGAATTAAAATTACTGGTTACTGTCCAGTGTTTACAAATGAAGTAAAATTACTGGTTACTGTCCAGTGTTTACAAATGAAGTAAAATTCTGGGTTTGTTGTTAAACTGTTAAACTGTTGTTACTGTTTGTTCAATACAAATTGCTGAACAAATTAGTTTATTAAATTATCAACTCATAGTTTTAGCGTATAATAGAAACTTTTTCTTTACAAATTTTAAATATATTTTCCAATGAACCTTTTAAAAATACATGATGTTGATGAATGATGCTCTTTCTAAGCAACCATTCACAACTTCCATTGATTAAATGGACATTTGAAACTTCAGATAACTAGGAAAATTCTTCCAATACTTCTGGGGAGTTGTCAACCAAATACTCTGATCCTCTGTAAGTTCTAAAATATTTAAAATGATCCATGATTATGCAGTGATAAACGTGTGCAATAGAGTTGAATTCTTCTTATTCTTAAAATAAACTTCTTCTAAGGGCGTCATGGCCTTGACTCTGTTATACCCAAACTCATCAATACTCTTCCTACCAATATTCACGAGAACCTTAGCAATCTTCTCCATTTCGTCAACATGATCACTATCTTCTGAAGTTAAGGCCATCACTACTAAAGCTGGATCAAGATACCAAATATGATTCTTCCAAGACTTTAAAACTGCATTAGCAGCAGGTTCAGTTTTAACATACTGTCACATTTGCCAATAAAACCTCTGATACTGAAATTTATTTTTTTGGTATAAACATTAATGGAATTCCTGGCAACATTTAATAAAACATTAAATTGTTACATATTTATCAGTTTTAAAAAACAGTTAACGTTCAAAATTTTATATTTACAATAAAAGCAGCAGAAACAGAAAACTCTCAGGTAAAAAACCAGTAAATTTGCAAAAGACTAAAGCCGAAAGAGCTTTAGACAGGTGAATTTCTCTTAGAAACAAATAGTGCTAGATTGCATGCTTTCTCAAGGGTAACTGGTTGCCTATAAATAACCGTGTCTTTAAAGAATAATTGCAGTTTATTATGCAAGTATTGGTTTATTTCAAAAATGATTTTTGCATTTTTTATCTTAATTACAACGATAATGGTTTTCTTTGGATAAACAACTTTGCAAACCATATATGACCGTATTGACCATATGGCCAGATGATCATGGATGTTATAGTTATATTGATTATTACCCCAAAAAAAAATAGCAAAAAAAAAAAAAAAAAATTTCTTACAAAAATGAGTTTTGTAAGAAAAAAATCAATCTAAAACTTGAACTTTGTCTATTATGTATGTAACTTTGTCTTCTATGTAGTTTGCACAAGAATTTTTAATTTTTTTCTATATTTAAAAATATAAAGAAAAAGAAAGTGATTTATATTTATGAAAAAAATAAATCTTTGCGAGAGCCATAAACTGCTTTTGTAAATCACTTTAGGGAAGTGTATGCTGCCGAGACCTGATATATATATATATATATATGTTTTTGTATATATATATATATATATATATATGTTTTTGTATATATATATATATATATATATATATATATATATATATATATATATATATATATATATACATATATATATATATATATATATATATATATATATATATATATATATATATATATATATATATATATATATATATATATATATATATATATATATATACATCAAAAGTTATTTTTATTCATTTTATATAAATATATGTTAATGTGTTTTTTTTTAATTGTATTTTAGAAAATTTTTAAAAGAATTGTTGAAAGTGAAGATGCCACTTGGTCATCGATCAAATTAATGAATGAAAATATTCTTCAATTAATGGCTACTACAATAGAAAATATGGAAGATGTAAAAGTTTTGTCTTTTTTATAAATATTATACTTTTTAATTATGTATTGAATTTAACCAGCTAACTATAATTGTAATATAATAGTAAAAAATAACAAAGTTATATCACAAAATAAAAAACATAAAAATAAAGTAATAAAAAGTCATTTCTCAAAAGTTTGGTTTAAGTATTATACATAGCATGTTTTCTTATAACTGCAAAATATCATATCTGTTATATCTATTACAAAATTTTTTAAATTGCGGTAAACAAAGGACAGAGCAAAGTTAAAACCATTTGTTTTAGAGATATCCTAATTTATCCAAAATAATTTTGATGTTGAATAAAGTAAAAAGTTTTTTCTTATTACATAATAACTACACATTTTGTAGTTTTCATAATTTTGAAAATTTATTATTCATAAATAAATTTTGAAAATTTATTATTCATAAATAAATTTTGAAAATTTATTATTCATAAATAAATTTTGAAAATTTATTATTCATAAATAAATTTTGAAAATTTATTATTCATAAATAAATTTTGAAAATTTATTATTCATAAATAAATTTTGAAAATTTATTATTCATAAATAAATTTTGAAAATTTATTATTCATAAATAAATTTTGAAAATTTATTATTCATAAATAAATTTTGAAAATTTATTATTCATAAATAAATTTTGAAAATTTATTATTCATAAATAAATTTTGAAAATTTATTATTCATAAATAAATTTTGAAAATTTATTATTCATAAATAAATTTTGAAAATTTATTATTCATAAATAAATTTTGAAAATTTATTATTCATAAATAAATTTTGAAAATTTATTATTCATAAATAAATTTTGAAAATTTATTATTCATAAATAAATTTTGAAAATTTATTATTCATAAATAAATTTTGAAAATTTATTATTCATAAATAAATTTTGAAAATTTATTATTCATAAATAAATTTTGAAAATTTATTATTCATAAATATAGATTCTTTGGCCATACTTGGTTGAGTTTGTTTTACCTGTTAACTATACTGAAGCTATAATGGCATTATGTCGTGCTTTAACATTTTTGGCTAACAGAAAGCAGGAAAATAAGGACAGCAAGTTTTCAATTCAACCCTCAAACAATAGTAGGTGACAATTTAAATATTTAACATGTTTACATATGATTCTTATATATAAATTTTATGTTAATATTAAAATTTATTTAAGTAGGGATTAGTATTTTATACTTTTATTTTTATCTTTGACAGTTTCTTTTTTACAACAAAGCGGTTCCAAATGTTATTTTCTCTCTCCCCCTTTCTTCCTGTAACCCCTCTCTTCTTCTCCATCTTCCCCCATAATTCATTTATATTTGTACATGATTTTATATATTTTATATTAATATTATCATATATATTTAATATATTTATTATTAATAATATTATTATAACTAATAATAACTATAAAATGGTATTAACTTTGAAAAGACATAACTCTCTAGATAAAAACTTAATTTAAAAAAGAAAAAAATAGTATTTTAGATGGACATTTTATTTGCATATTAATTTTTTTTTTTTATTTTTTTTATTTTTTATTTTTTTATTTGCATTCACTCCCAACAAGGCTGCAAGCAACCACTATTAAGTTGGGAGTTACTAGGAAAAAAAAAGAACAGAGTTATAGAGCAAAGAAACAGTTGACAGAAGACTTGAAAAGTTGAAGGTTGTATGAGTCAGGAAAACATGAAGATGGGAGAGAGTTCCAAAGGATTGAAGTGCGGGGAAAAAAACTAGACGAATAAAAGTTTTTAGAGCATGCAGGGACAGATACAGTAAACGAATGAGACTTAGCTGAATGACGAGTAAAACGAGAATGAATTTTAGTTGATGGAACTAGAGATGATAACTCCTTTGAGCAGTGAACATGATAGTATCTGTAGAAAAGAGAAAGAGATGCAACTTTACGACGATGGGAAAGAAGTTCAAGCTTAGCAGATAGTCCAGGTCCAACAACATTTACAATGCGTTTTTGGACCTTGTCAAGAAGAGAAAGTGAATCGTTAGAAGAACCAGCCCAAATATGGCAACAGTATTCCATACAGAATAAGAGATTTGTAGAGGTAGAGAATGGAATCAGAAGTAAGAAAATGGTGAGCACGATAAAGAGAAGCAACCTTAGCAGAAGCTAATTTAGCAATCGATTGTATATATGGTTTCCATGAAAGGTCAGTAGTAAGCGATAATCCAAGAAGACGTAAAGAGGAGGACTCAGTAAGAGGATTGCCATTCATTAATATAGGAATGTTGACCATATTACGGTAGTTGTTTGCAGTAAGCAATTGGGTTTTTTTAGAGTTGAAATTCACAAACCACTGTGAACCCCAATCTATTACTGAAGTGAGATCAAATTCAAGATCAGCTGCTTGTTCTAGGCGATCGAAAAGAGAAGACTTTTTGTCAAGACAGGAGTATAAAGTTGAGTCATCAGCAAAAAGAGCTACTTTAGATGAAAGGTTGTCAGGTAGATCGTTTATGTAGATAAGAAACAAAACAGGGCCCAGAATGGAACCTTGGGGAACCCAGAAGTTACTGGAAATAAAGAAGAGTGTTGGCCTTCAAGGATGACTTTAATAAACCGGTTAGAACGAAATGATTTGATAATCTCAAAAACTTTCCCAGAAACACCATATGAAGCAAGCTTATGGAGAAGACCAGCATGCCAAACTTTGTCGAAAGCTTTAGATATGTCGAGAGCAATAGCCCAAGCCTCACCGCTTCCATCTAATGCACGATAAAATCTTTCAGTTACAGCAGTTAGCAAGTCGGCCGTAGAGCGAGAGGATCGAAAACCGTATTGATTGTCTGACAGTAGTTTATTTGACTCAAGATGAGATGTGAGGAATTTGTTGATCAAAGACTCAAAGACCTTGCTAATAACAGAAAGAAGACTGATCGGACGGTGGTTGGGGGGGGGGGTCAGAACTTTCTCCAGAGTTTTTGAATATTGGAACCACAGATGCCATTTTCCAACAAGTAGGAAAACAAGACTCCGTCAAACACTTGTTAAATAGTTTAGAGAGAATTGAAGAAAGTTCTGGAGAACAATTCTGCAAAACTGTGACAGGAATGTTGTCTGGACCACAAGCTGTAGACGAGTTTAATTGAGATATGACTTTAGCAACAGAAGCCGGAGTGATTTGAATGTCTAACAATGGGTCAACCTGTTTGACTGGAATGGAAGGAAGAGAATGTCCATAAGATTCAAGAGTGGAATTAGAAGAAAAGTTCTTTGCAAATAGTTCTGCCTTATCCTTGGGAGAGGTAAAAAGATCAGTCCCATGAATGAGAGATGGAATGTTAGATCTACCCTTGTTAATAATGCTGTTGAAGATTTTCCAAAAGTCTTTAGAGCCTAACTTCTGCGATAAGATGTGAGATTTAGTGAACTGAGAATAATGGAGTTTAGCATCAGAAGGCACCTTTTTACATCGATTTCTTGCAATAATAAATAGCCGTTTGTTCTCAAGAGAGTTGTTCTTTTGAAAAATATTTTAAAAAAATGATTATGATTGGATATAGCAGCGGCACAAGAAGGAGAAAACCATGGAGTAGAATGAGGCTTGACTTGAAACTGACGAGAAGGAATAAAAGCTTCCATTCCAGCCTGAATCCAGGAGGTTACGTATCTAGGTTTTACGTATCTAGGTTTTTATCTAGCCATTGTGTCTTATGTAATTTAAGTAACGTCGAGTTGACTCAGAAAGGTGTTGTACAAAAGATTTTTCAATGTTTTCTGTTTTTCTTAAGATTATCTCTAATTATTCTCATACACTTTTCCTTTAAAAAAACTTTAAAAATCCTCAATTGGACAACATTCAGGCACATTAGCAGGGTTAACTTCCCTTTTGACAAAAATGATCTTTTTCTCTTTCATGTAGTTTTGTTCAGATTTTGCGTTATGAGGCCAGATCAGGCCAAAATATGTCTTTGCCATCAGAATGATGCTTTTTGATAAACAGAGTTAGTTTGTTCTTGATACAATCGTTTTTGTAGACTTTTTGTAGCCACTTTTTCTAAATATTGACGAAGAGATTCCTTTATCGGAAAAGCAAACCCAAACAAGTAATTTCTTTTCATATTTTGTAGTGGGATTGAATTTGACACTTGTTGGTGTTTGAGAAACATCACTTGAATATTAAATAACATTTTCATTAATCAAAGATTGGTTGAATGTGAAGTTCAACTTGTTGTCAAAGATTATTGGCTTTTTCCTCTACTTTGGCCTAATTAAGAACTTTGTTTTTAATGTTTTGCTGATATATACTTGTGTGCACTTAAATTTCCAAGCTACTTGTGTTGCGATATCCCGTCTTTGTTGTCAGACATTGTTTTAAGTTTTTCAATGTTCCTTTTTGTTTATATTTTAGCAATCCTATCACTTTCAGAGACTCTTTGGTACCCCAGAAATATTTTCAGCGCGTCAAATAGTGGTATAGATGGTATTAATAAAAATTTTTTACTAAGAAAGTGATCAACTGTAAACTTTTTCCTTTAGATCTATTTTTTAAATAAAAGCTATACAAACATTCTTAACAGGTTTCTTGTTTTTCTTTCATTTTTCTCTGTAACAATAAATTGTTTTAATTTAAAATAAAACAAGTTTTTTAGAGAATTGAAAATACTACAAACTAGGTAAGATTGCAACCATAATTAGTATAAAATATATTACATAACTTTGTCTTCAAAGTCATTACCTTTTTTTAGTTATAATCTGTTATATTATAATTAAAAAAACAACAAAAAAACAGTTGCAGTTAAAACTTTTCAATTGCATCATCAGAACTTTTATTTTTTCGCACTTTGATGATGCATTAGGGCATTCAAGCTACTGATATCATTTGTATTGGTCCACAATTAGTTATGTACTAATCAAATGTTAAGGTTGTTTTATCTTAACAGCTTGTGTCTTTTAGTTTTTCTCTTTTCACACTTAAAAACTGTTTTTTATTAAATGAAATTGGATCTAAATTATCTAATTTAGATCCAAGTGCCTGAAGATCATTTTATCTACTTAAAGATCATTTTATCTACTTAAAGATCATTTTATCTACTGAAGATCATTTTATCTATTTAAAGATCATTTTATCTACTTAAATCACCTATTTCTGAATTGCCACCTTATCAGCTACCTACCAATCGAACAGATATAAGATATTACCAATATCTTATGAGTTCTAGATCAAATTAGTTTAAAAGCTTAATTGCAAAGTTTGCATGTGCAACTGGCCAAAATTTTAATATTGTATGTGAAGAAAACTCTATATTGTTGCATTAGAATTGCCACAATATAGGATTTATGTGACAATATGTCAGCAAAAAAATAAAAACTTTTATCTCCTCCGAAAAATAGTAAACCTCTGGAAACTCTGTAGATTATTTATTTCATCTGAAATTCTTTCAATTATTTAACATCTGAAATAACATAAAAATTCTTGATACAAGGGAGTGTTGCTACATCGACTATCTTATAGCTTGACTCGTTTATCAGTATTATATATATATATATATATATATATATATATATATATATATATATATATATATATATATATATATATATATATATATATATATATACCCCCCCTGTTTATTAATTTTTACTTGTTATTGTTCACGAAAAGTTTGTAAAACTTCACAAAACATGATACAACTACAATAACTAACTTGGAAGATAGACAGCAGAAAACCAAAAATTATGGCATTTTAATTAAAGACATACAACATTATTTTTTAATATACATAGATTTATATAATGTTATATTATACTAAGATTTAATGTGTAGAGCATTTTATAACTTAACTATATGTAATTTTTTTAAGGGAAGGTTGTTTTGCCATTGGCAAAATAAACATATACACAAAGACATATGCATAAAATACATATAGATAAAATTAAGTCTTGTCAGTGACATTGAACTTTAATTAAACAATATGTAACAATGTTGTTTATATAATTTAATCAGACATTTTTAGTAGTTAGCGCAAAAAAAAGCTTTATGTAAACAAAACATTGACAAAAAAAATCATTAAAGGACAATGGTGCAACTTGGATATTTGTATAGAATGATTAAGAAATAATTAGAAAATAAATTAATTAAAGTTTCAATAACCACTAATAGCTATTTCTGAATTATCTAAAAAGTTTAAGATAGCAAAAAAGTCATTGAAATGTTATATTGATAAAATTTAATTAAAAAAAAAGTTTCAAAAGGATGTGTATATATATTAGCACCATGTGCGATTGAGAGAAGGTTTACAAGATCTAAGAAACTTTATGAATTTATTAAAACCGGACAAAAATTATTACAACTGATGAAAAACTTCACCTTACTCCTACCTTAATGATTGTGATCAAAAATCCAAACATATTTACATAAATAAATATAAAAAAACATTGAGAGATTACCCTATTACAAAAAGAAAAATTTTCCAAAATCTGTCATGGTATGGGGAGGAGTTTGTGCAAATGGATTAACATCTCTAATATATGTCAAAACAGGAGTTAAAATTAATTCAAGTAACTATACAGAGAGTATTAGTAAACTATTTATTTAAAATGATATCAAAAGACTATATTCAAAATATGACTTTTATTTCCATCAAGACTCTGTACCTTCAAAAATGACCATTAAGTTTTTAACTGACGGAAAAATCAAATTAATTCAGCCTGAAATGTGGACACCAAACTTACCAGATAATGCACCTATGGACTTTTTTATATGGGATTATATGTTAAATCATCTAAAAAAACCAAAAGCAAATAATATTACAGGGTTTATATGGAATATAAAAGATATATGGAGGAACATCATTCAAGAGTTTATGAATAAAGCATTGATGTCTTGGTCTAAACATTGTAATCTTATCTATGATAGCAAAGGTAATCTAATTGAACATTTAAGGAAAACAAAATTAAGAATAAAAAAAATATTGCTTTTTAAATATGTTTCCATTTTTAATGTCACATGACTGAAAGAAGCTCTTCTTCTACAAAATAACAGTGAAAAAAAAGGTTTTAGTTTAAAATATAATATAGATTGGAATATAATATAGATTTTCTGAGAATTCACTTTTGTTTTAGACAAACACAGTTTGTATTATGAAACAAAGAGTTTTCTTTAAATATAGCATTTTTTCCATGGGATGAATGCAAGCTTTAAATTTATATGTTTTTGAAGTCTAGTCTTGTTAAGCATTCTGTTTTAAATGACTTAAGAGCTTTCAAAAAAAAAGAATGGAACTTAATAGCAGGTAAAGCACTGCTAATGCTTTACCCGCTATTAAGTTCCATTCTTTTTTTTTGAAAGCTCTTAAGTCATTTAAAACAGAATGCTTAACAAGACTAGACTTCAAAAACATATAAATTTAAAGCTTGCATTCATCCCATGGAAAAAATGCTATATTTAAAGAAAACTCTTTGTTTCATAATACAAACTGTGTTTGTCTAAAACAAAAGTGAATTCTCAGAAAATCTATATTATATTCCAATCAATATTATATTTTACACTGTATGCAAGCTCATTTTTGTCTCCTAAAGCAGTTATTATGGTTTTAGCTGATTTGCATCTTGTTTTGCAAACTAAGTCAGCCATTTTAGACACTTTACTTCAGTATAAATTGCCTGAAATAGAACATATGAGTTTATATTAAACTGTTGTTTTTCTTAATAATAACACTTGATTGAAAGATTTGATTACAGAGGAAAGTTGGTTTCATTTTATCTAACTGAGTTTATTTATAAAGTATTCAAATCAAAGGGAACTTAAAAATAATTTTTTAAATCAAAACTCAAGTGTAGCAAATGATTGTGCGTCTAGAAATATTGGAATAATACAATTTGTTGCACATCTAAAAATGAAGAACAACAACAATAAATGAAGAATAACAAAAAACATAGAACAACAACAAAAAACATAAAACAACAACAAAAAACAGAACAACAACAAAAAACATAGAACAATAACAAAAAACATAAAACAACAACAAAAAACAGAACAACAACAAAAAACATAGAACAATAACAAAAAACATAGAACAACAACAAAAAACATAGAACAACAACAAAAACCAGAACAACAACAAAAAACATAAAACAACAAAAATAATAGAACAACAACAAAAAAACATAGAACAACAACAAAAAACATAGAAAAACAACAAAAAACATAGAACAACAACAAAAAACATAGAACAACAATAAAAAGTTAAGAACATAAACAAAAAATGAAGAACATGGACAAAATATCCTATTAGTAGTCAAATAACATTGCAAATTGATATATACAAATATTTCCCAGAAATTATTAATCTGTAAGAAATACATGTTAAAATATTAAGAAAATACTTTTATGTAGTTGTTTTTATTTTATATACCATTGTTTTTGAAATTATAACCCAAAAAACTGTTAAAATGTGAATAAAACCCAAATTCTATATATTTTTTTGTGAACTTCTAAGGAGATGTTTGTAAGGGGACCTAAAACGTTTGTAAGGGGACCTAAAACAGTTTTTTACATGATGGTGCTTTAAATTCCAAAAAAAAATTAAAAAGTATTAAAAAAATTGTCCCCCTTAGAAAGATTACAAAATAAATGGGTAAAAAGCTTTAAATTTAAGACTTAAGTCGGATTCTTAATTTTATAGAAGATTTAGCTTAGAATTTAGCTTTGTTTACCCAGTAATTACTTATTTCCCCATTACTTTACTTCCACAAGCTGTTGAATTAACCTGTAAGTTATTAAAATGTTAAAAATATTTTTATCCTTTATCGTATTCTTTAAAAATAAAGTTATAGAAATTAAACAAATATTTACTTAAATTTATTGTTAATTTATTAAAATTAATAAATTGTAATTTTTTTATTATGATTTGACAATATTTTTTTTAATATACTTTGTATTATTAATTGATGATTTGGTTTGGGAAAATAATCAAGGAGTTTAAGGTCTTATAGTTTGGAACCCCATAACAAATTTCTTTTACACAGTTACAACCCTTTATGTAATTAAAAGTATTTTTTTTATTGGAGGCCCATGCTAAATTGCTGTTACATAGCCACAGACAACCTTTTATATATGTAACAAAATTTATATCCTACCTATGTCTAAAAAATAGCTTTTTTCTTGAAAGTGTTAGCAACTCATAAAAAGAGATTTTTAAAAATGATTTTAATACAAGTTTTTTACTTAATCAAAATATTAAAAATATTTAAATACGTTTTTAACTTATTATTATTATTTTTTTTTTTTAAACAAGTTAAAAATATTTTTCTGATAAATTTTCCTAAAAAATAAATCAAAAAATTATTTTGTTTTTATTTTATTTTGTTTCAATTTATAAATTTTTAGAATTATAATAATTTTATTTTCGAAAGAATTAAATTTACAATGAGTTTTCATTGAAAAAGTACAAAAAAAATGTTTTGTTAAATTTATACAAGAAAAATTTCAAGAAAAATGTTTTGTTAAATTTATAACTTGAAAATTTCTTTATGCTTTTAAAAGGTGTTTCTTTATTTTTA